GGTGAAATAAGTGGCACTTAGGGACTGGCCTTGTACATTGCACCTGTCTTATCACCATTTAACTCATATTTGTTGGTCTAACTAAACTGTCAGCAATTCCCTGCCTTCTTGGCCTTTACCTGTAAAATGCCATGGTAATGCTGACAGGCTGCCAAACCGGAGCTGTCTGGAAAAGACTGCAGCCGCCTTTTCCTTTGACTTCCACCATGTATTGTCAAAATTAGATGTACACACACTGGGCGACACTCAGCTGCAATTATAATCCATCATCCACCTTTCAGATACAAATTTGTTTAGTCGTGTCCCCCTCTCATTGACTCATTTCCTTTTCAAAACTCACTGCTAACTCAGTGATATATATATTTCCTGATCATGCTATACTCTGTAACATGTTTCACCCCTTCCTTCAGTCTGTGTCAGTGTTCTTTCCTGTAATTGTGTATTTTCTGGATCGATTCAATTGTCTCTTGATGTATTCCTCGCTCAGCTGAGCATGTCATTACACACATCATTTGTGTGCAATTTAATGCGGTTTGCAACAAGGTTATATTTCTGTGGTGGTTCAATCTGAGGACTCTGCAGCAATCATTTCCCTCTCTGTCTCTTTTTCACTTGCTAGAAGGAATTGCCTTGGCGGTGATTCTGCACTCCTCTGCGTTCGCTCGGTCATGCCACGTTTTGAGTTCACATTGGGAGATATTGCAATTATCAGTCAGGTAATGTGATGAATCTGGTAACTTTACCCCATGTGTGTGCTGATCAGTACTTCCAAAGTGTTCTGCATCATGAAATTATATCCATCCATTTTTATTGGATGTAGGTATTGTATGATTTTTATTTTCTGTTTCTCACTGACTCTTAAATGTTGGCTGGACTAACAGTGTATGATGTGCTAATGAATGGGTAAAACAGAATTAGGTACAACATTATTTAACCAGTTTTAGATGTCATAGGGGACAGAGAGGTCAGCTTGGCATTAAAGTCAGTGCAGTGATATTTGGACAAACACAGGAAATTAGTCAAACATCAAGTTTGTGGACTTTCGTATGCTCATTAGCTGTACTGCATTAATATCACTGTCCCCCGAACCAAGGTCCAATTCAATGAAAATGATTTGGGACCTTTATTTGATCAAGGCCTTTTGTTGGCCTTCTCTTTGACCTATCATGGAATAATTATTGCCTCCTATTACCTTTCTTTGTTTTGCCTGACACACTGTTCAATCACAATGCCACGGTGTATGTGAAAGTGACAGGGTTCTCATTAACTTTAATTACTGTGTGCTAAAGCCGTCTGAAGGCAGAGTTTTGTCCCAGGAACCGCCCAGCCCCCCACTAGAAGCCACAGGCCCTGTCCTTCATCACCTGTGAAGGTCTAATCTTATCTGTGGCTATTGCAAGACTCTTCATTAATCACTCCCTCAGTCCAATCAAATGTTTGATGGTTGACGTGGCCTTGTCCGGCCATATCCAGGTGATGGGAGCTGCTCCTTGGTTGGCCAGGGCACAATGTGCCATAGATCCTGTGGCTGATGTCACTGGTAGCTGTGTGTGCATAAACACAATAATGTCCTCCACGTGGGAAACACGCTGCCAACTGTTTAATGCACCTAAGTTTCAACAAATTGTTTTTGTTTTGTCTCATCAGTTAATGTTAGCTCTAAGCTTGACTTTGTTTTGTTGAGTTCAAGCTGTGGTACAGCTTCCATTCACTTCTGCTCAACAACTGAAAACTTAAAATTGAGACACTACATGTTTGCCCCCATCTCCTGGTGTGATAAGTGGAAGATGTTCAGTATGTTACAAGCAACTTGCTGAATGGAAAGGGGTGCGTACAGGAAAAGAGCCAGGAGGTAGGACAAAGTGGAGGGGAGGTGGAGAATAAATAGTTTGTTCTTGTAGCTGCAGGATATAAATGGCATAAAGATGAAACAAATAAACCTTGGGTAGCCATGGCCTTTAACCAATCCATAGTAATCAGTGACACTGCACTGAACTCTACCTTCACGGACCCTAACCAATCAGCAGAGAAAACAGCGAGCTGTCATTTCTTTTCCACTGCTCACTGATGGCAGCAGAGCGAGGTGTGGTAATTATATATGAAAAGGTGAGGAAGGGGTTGGGGGCATACGTGTCAGTGTTTTAGAGTCATAATCAACCTTTTAAAGTGGTTTGGCTCCACACTTTTTGTCAGTCAGAGTGTCCCGCTGGCAGTGATTAGAGGATTGATCAGGAATGTGACTAATACATGCCCAATGCTGATGTCAGATGGCATGACTCACTACGCAGCCTCCTCAGAGAAATTTGGTTTAATCCTGGACAAATTACTTCTTTATATTCATAAATTGCTGTGACAATGAAATATGAAAATCAACACTTGTAGAATATATCTCTGGTCTCCTTGCACAGTGTGGCTGTGGACAAACAAACAAGACACACGTATGTTGCTCATGTAAACAGACACACAACATCTGTTATGCAGTGACATCACAAAACGATCTTCCCGGTAGGCGTCAATGTGCTCAGGTTTTCATAACCATTGGATGCCTCCCATCCTTGTCCTACAGAGAACAGATGAAGCTCTGCCCTGATGGATGAATAATGAGCCTGTTGGCAAAAGAGACGTAGCTAATGTTTTTTCCAAATATCTCAAATCTGACCCCGTTGATAATGTATCTTGCACCGGTGCAAAACAGATGTATATATGAAGAGCTGATTTCATTGCAGATGTGATTTATAACATTTTTTTGACTGGAAAAGGAAGAGAGAAAAACAACCTCTCATATTGAAATGTCTGGCGGGTGTCTAGGCATCACAATAAGGGCTTAGTTTGTTTGTCTGTGCTTGATGATTTTCCTGTGTGGCGGCATAGCTTTGTTTGTTTATGTTAATGGATGTGATGACCTGTTGGTCCCCAATCTTGCAGGGAAATGGCAGCCAATGCTTTGGGGAGTGAGCCATTGATCTCTCTTCAGTGGCTCTTTCTTCACAGGTACTTGGGATTAACCGAGCCGGGAACAACACAAAGGAAATGTTACAAAAACAGCAAAAATAACAAATAAAAATTCACCATATTATTTCTGGTATATGCATATGTTGCACAGCAGCTCCAGGCTAATTGATGCTTGTGTAGCTTCTGCCAAGCTGCCTGGTGTGGAGAAGTACTCACTCTGCTCCCCTTATATCGGGCTCTTGATGCCTGATTCTGCCTAAACACACAGCTATAATTTCCCTAAGTAGTACACTAAGCAACTGTTATACAGCAACACGCAAACAAAAGCTGTTAATGGTTTTGCTTTTCTGGACCACCTAATAATCTGAAACATTGCAGAGGCCAGTTGTAGGACTGGGTAGATTCCAACACACGAATCAGGCTACATCCATGCTACTACCTGTCTCTGTCCACACAAGCGTTTTGCTTCCGTATAAATTGTAATCCCTGTTTATACTAATACACCTGAAACGCGTATCCTGTACTATTTTGTGTGTTGCTGTGAGATTTGAATCATCTAAAAATGTTTTACCTTTATTCTCCTGTAAGAAAATATCCACACTGGTTTACAGTTATACTTTAAAGTTGAAATTAAATGTATTGCTTTGACTAGATAATTTGACAACATTACTACTGACTGAAATCTTATCTACGTGAATTTGGTATAAATATATTCTAATGACAAATTTAATTCTCAGATATAATGTACTGTACTGCACATAATGATTAAGACAATATATTTTCAACTATCTTCTTCACTGCAAAATCTAAATCACCCCACAAATTTCACAAAAAGTGGAGGAACTAAGTTAAAACTTGAGTCTTTCTGTGTGAATAAATAAGATGCTTTGACCACTCCTCCATACCACGGAAGGTTAAGCCCACATTAGGTGATCAGAGGCACAAAGGTCAGCTTCACAGGAGTCAGTTTTACTCTTTGAAACTCTACTGCATTTTACTTTTCAAACTGGAAACACAACATCGGGAGAGTAGGGGGGGGGTGCACCAGGGGAGAAGGCTCACAAAGCTGTCCCCCAGGGTAGATTATTGCTTGGTTAAAAAAAAAAAAGAAGAAAAATCTATGAACAGAAACACTCTTTTCCACCATCAGCTCTCGCTCCTGGACGCACATTTATTGAAATGTCAGTTCTTTAGGGGCCAAGTTCTAATTTTTGTTCCACTCAGTGTCAGTAAATAGGTCTGCCTGTGAGTTTTTGTTCACAGATCCCAGGAGAGTGGCATGCACGCTCAGCAGAGAGACCTCTCACTGCAACCTCCCTCTAACATATTGATCAGGAACGGCTATTGGCTTTAGCCCTGTGAATAAAATGCTGCTCTACCGAGTTCACTTCCCCGCTGGGCGATTGCACGGACAGACAAAACCTTTAACAATTTTTAGTGGACTGCCATTTAGCTGAGATCCTAAGCCTTATGACGTCAATGGCTGACACGGAGAAGGGAGGAGGGGAAGGAAAAAGAAGAGGAAATGTCACTATTGTGTACCTCATATCTTCAAATTACTTTATGTATCTATTTTCTCTGCCTGCTACTCGTGTGTTCCAGCATCTGCCGCAGACGAAGAAGAGATCATATTGAGATGATTTATAAAACCAAGGGCTGGTAAATGGAGTTGTTTTCTGGCTCTTCGCTCAAAGTTGTTTGTCGACATCAGAAAGAGGAAGAGGGTTGACATGTGCATCTAGATACATTTCCCTGCTGAAAACAATGATCCCCCTTGACATTTGAAAAAACGTGAACATGGAAAAAAGACATTTATACAGATTCAGAGTACAGAATGTGCAGTGTTTTGATTCCACATTGTGGGAACAAGCATATTTTTCTAATTTGTTGTGACTGGAATGAGGAAGGAGAGGGACCACTTCATACGTCAATCACAATCTTGAACAACTAACTTGTTCTATTAGTAATAATTGCTTTTGTAATTTCTGCCTGGAATCCATTCAGTGTGTCTTTTGGTCCAACATTAACCTTCATCTAAATCATCTGCTTCAACTTCATTTCATTGTTTTCCCTGAGCCTCAGAATGACTTTAGGTAGTCGAGTGTTTTCCCATATATCATTTATTTATTTAGTAATTAATTAATTTGTGTATTAATCTATGAGCTATGTATTTAATATTAAATAATGCACAGTCCTCTTCATGAGATTTAAGATAAAATCGGGGCTCTCTCAGTGGTCCTTTGTTTTCTGTTTGGTTGGAACATAGGGCAGTACAGTTTGGGTGCTCTTGTCAGAGACAGTTTGTGTGCTGCTATTTCGTAACAGTTTTTTGCGGCAGCCGGGGTTTAAGAGACCTTTCCTGGGTAGTGTGTGAGCTCCTGTCATCCCCTTCACTGGTGAGGAGACGTGGGAAGGGTCCAGACAGTTATGGAGGAGTGAATGCTCAGAGGAAGAACGTTTGGGGGCCATTGAGCTGGCCATGGGACCGGGCTCAGTATCGCTATCTGGTGTCACAAAGCCACTCTTGCCCTCCTGTAACTCGTCTTGCTCTTCCTCCTCCTCCTCGTCATCGTCGCAGCACAAAGCATGATACAGAATTTTGTCACTGAAACGCACTCGTTCTCTTGTGCCGGAGGTACGAGAAGTCTTGTGGCTGTGCGTGGAGCTGCTGGCCTCCTCGCTGGAGGAGTCTGGAGTAATGATGCGGGGCCCGTTGGGTATTGGCAGCCCGCCATTCATCTGGGAGTAAACCGAGGCAGTTGTGGGGGGTGGGGTTGGGGTCTGTGTCTGGGTGGGAATGGTCCCGCGGCCCAGCTCCGGTCGTAGATCCCCTGGTTGCTCACCGGGTCTGCGTGCGGCTGCTCCAGCAGCCTCCAGGTAGCTGCAAAATTCCCAGCTATCAGAAAGCACATCTGCATTGAGGAAGTCCAGCCTGAAGGCCTCTCCCAAGCCTCGCTCACTGCTCGACGTGCTGCTGGCTGTGGCCACTGTCCAGTCATCTGGCTCCAGGTCAAAGTCAAAGTCGGACGTAAGTTTATCGATCTGACCCACCACCTGCAACAGAGAACACAGAGAACGAGAGAGAACTCATGAGATATTGAAGAAAAGCACATTTTTGGGACAAAGTGGAAAAGAAAGATTAATTTAATTTTGATTCAGATCCAAATATTTTTATATAAGTTGGTGGCATCACTCTGGATGGTTACATCAGCAGTCCAGACTGAAATATTTGAGCCACTACAACCTGCTGTTGCCTGTAATGTTTTCACCTTGAATGTGTTTGTATGTACTTGCACCATGTACACACATACACAGAAATGTGGACCATTTTGAGCACAGACCCTTCAGAGTGAGGACATTTTGGCTGGTCCTAACTTTTTCAAAGGGCTGTTTGAGGGTTTGCTTTTAGGGTTAGAATGGTAGTTAGGTTAAGGATTAAGGTTAGGCCTTTTTTGATGGTTAAGATTAGGGTAAGGGGCTAGGGAACACATTTTAACCACGAGTTTCTTCACTAAAATGAGAAGTACAAGTATCATGTGTGTGGGTATGTGCTGTACTGCACTACTTTAATGGAAGCTACCACAGAGGCAGTCTTCAGCACATTGGCAGGTGTCAGTCTGTGTGTCTCTTTCTGTGGACAGACCTTGTCACTGCAATAAATCTCAACCCTTGAAGCGACACAAAACTTCAGGTGTGTACTTGAGATCAAAATGAAGGTCAAGTTCTAAGATATGAGTGATCCCAAGTACTTGGGATTATGTAGTAAAGACTGGCAAGTACTCATGGGTCAGAATGTCACCATGACGTGTCATGATCGATCTGATCCCATGATGGTCTCAAAGTCTAAATGTTTTTAATATATCCTCCCATGATGCATTATTTTTACATGGTAACATCATCAGAGGGCTTTTAGCACCACTACTCCATTACTTGTGTAATGTAGTATAATTTACACAGGGGGTTAATAATTACATTACAAATAAAAATACTGATCTCCATTTGAGCAGATACAGGACTTGCATAGACTTAATTTAACTATTAAAGAAACTTTACCAAAAGTATTAATGTGGAAACCCACTTTGATATTAATCTTATCCCATTGCAGGACATTTCCAGATGCTTCACATCCCACTGATTAGGCAGGTTTAACAAAAAACTAAGACTTATTCCCTACTGCTAATAGATCTGTGTTATCCTTTACAGCTTGTCATTACACTATGTTTCAATAATAAATCTTTAATTGTTTGTTTGTGTTTTTAAAATGGTTTTTACTTCTGCCACGGCCTCCTGTGGACAGGTGTTGTAAAATAGCTTTATGCTGCATTAAAGACAAAATTAAACTTCCATTGAAATGAGGTTGTAGCATTGAAGACGTGTCGCAACTCATCAAAAAGGCTTCTCCAGCTTGGAGAGAGAGGGGGAGAAAGAAGAATTAGATAGAAGAATTGAAGAAGCCTCTTCGATGAGCGGCACGCACACACAGTCCACTGGCTGATTCACTTTGTCTTGATGTTGTACTTGTATAGCGACAGCACCGGGATGAATGAGATGAGCCCACGCAGAAGCAGTATAGCTTTATGGAAACCAAACTGCCGTGCCTCTTGATGCTTCCATGCTTATGCATTGTTTAATTCCAGTGCTATTGTAATGTCAGTATCGAACAAAATGAAGTCAAATTCTCACAAACACTCACTTCATTGAAATGTATCACATAAGAGCATTTCATTTATTGTTACCTCAAATATAACGTGTGGAGTGTTTGGTGAATAGAAAACACTTCAGCTGGAATCACACTGGTTTGCGGACAACACTTAAAACTCGTGCCCTCTATACTTGACATTTTAGCATCTTCAATCAGCATTTTCTGCTCTCAACAACAAGCTATTGTAAAATTCAAACACTCAGCACGTATGTACTGTTGCTTGTTAATTATACATTCCCCGAAAACATTCAGCAAATAATATATATATAACATGCACATATAGGTCTACAACATAATTATAGCTGAATAACAGAGAAACTGTGGTTTTACCCAGAGATTTGTAGAACATGATCCTTTGTTTTTTTTTGTCTGCCTCTATAATTATATGCAGCACTTGCTTCTTTCTGCCTTTTATGAGTACAAATGAGCGCAGTTGTATCAACAACACAAAGTCTTATCCCTGCATGTAGAATTTAAAAAAAAAATGTCTTTGTCCAACTTTAAAAAAGAGAAATTATGAGTCTGAAGAGGGTGAAAATCCAAACCCGCTGATAAAGGAGGAGGGGGTACACCGCTGCGCTAGCTGAAAAGCTCCAGTGATCTGCAATGCAAACGTGGCAGCTGACATCATGAGCTCAATGATCTTATGCAAATATCCCAAGATTATGGTCTGAATCTAACGTAAATTTGCTCGCTAACTCCCTGAATAAAATATTACAACGCTGTCTTATATTAGGAGCACAAAATGTAGGCTACAATAAACCTTCACCTTAAAAAAGAGTGTGAAGGATGATTAGATGCTGTTTCTTTTCTCTTTCGCTGCATTTAACATGCAGCTCTTCAGTCCTCAGCTTTTAAAAGTGATGGTTTGTGCTGTTAAGTACAAACAACTGCATTTAAATCAGGCTTTGTACGTCTGCATGCATGGCATAGGCTCATCTGTCAATGGGCCTCTCTGCAGATCTTGTCAGTTGTGGCGTCGTACACCTTGTGAGTACTTGGACCGTGGCTCCCTATTGGCCGACTGCCCAGAGGGAATTGGGCCGTGTGAGTGCTCTAATACTGGAATTACTTAACCTGTTTGCTTTTTGATTTGCAGACTTTTTACTCACAGACTTGTTAATGTAAGATGTTTCTCAGACCCACAGGAGGCTGAATAGCTTTGTTTACTTGTTTACACAACTCCGGACGAGGGACCTACTTTAATAAATTAGTTAGATGTATTTCACGAGACACTGAACTGTGATATGTTAAAAGAAGGGTTAGAGGAAATGCAAATGAAGAGTTTTCTGATCACCCAAACATTGCTGTTTCTCTGCAATGGATCATCATCGCTTATTTTCCAATTTAAGAAGCATTCCTGAGTGTTAACAGTAACAACGTCGGCTAGTCTGACCCCTGTCTGCAGTATGTGGGCTAATTTAACTTGATAACTGTCTCAGCTCTGAGGGTCTGCTGAATCTTTCTAGGTCACAATGCAGCACATGCTCAATGAAGCAACAATGAACACTAGCCTCTGCGTTTTCTTCCAGTCCGAGGATGTGCGATGAGGGAGCTTTGGAGTGAACTGGAGGAGCAGATTGCTTTAGCTCAAAGGATGAATGAACACATCAGGAAGGAGTCGTGGACAATGTGCATGATGTGTTTGGAACATAAAACGCTTTATGGGAATCTACAAGAGTCTAGATTAGAGATTAAAAGTAATTATGAGACTTTTGCAGTGGAACCCATCATATATATTCATCAGTAAAGAAAATATGCCTTTTAGAGATTTTCCCGTAGAAGGTGCCATGTGCGAGTACTACAATAAACAAATATATTTGAAGAAAACACAATTAACCCATTGCTCATGCCTTATGGAATAACTAGCTCTTGTTTACTTTGTAAACACTTAGTTATCTGGTTCCCATAAGTCACATCAGTCAGAATAACTCTAAACATTTGAGTGGGTGGACAAACCACATAGTTAGATGTCTGATATGCAGCCCGCATTTTGACATCTCCTTAGTTTTGATTCCCTCAAATGTTAAATTCAGGATATGCAGCTTGAAGCTGTGATAAACCTCTGGAGTCGGCTGTGTATCCCCCATGGACTTTATGGCGCCATCACTCTACAAAGTTTATGATGCAGTGATGGCACATCCTTGTGACTGAAAAGACTCCATTTGCAACCCAGTTAAGCTGTAATGTATAGTGTAAGTGTGCATATAAGTGCTGGGGATTTGAGTTTGACTCAAGTCTTTAATTTTATCTCAGTGTCTCTGCTGACAACTTCACTTATTTTCTTAACTGCAATGGAAGCTACCAAAAACTATGTTGGTGGCTTAAACAATATGAAATGAGCAGCACACAAATTCCTTTTTTTTAATTTGAGGGAGAAACATTGATGATGATGATGATGATGATGATAATTACAGCGATAACAATAACTTTATAAAGCATGTTTCAACACAAAGGACAAATTGCTGCACAACTAGAAAACAAAAAGGATAAAACTCAGAAGAAAGTTGATAAAGAATGATGGAAATAATAATACTGTCTCAGACCGCTTTATTTCCTCAGGCCTTGATGCCTTTTATCTCCATATTTCATATATATTTAGTTTTTTTCATAAATCAGTGCTATTGTTTGCACTTAACTTCCAACTGTTGGTTTTACAAATAAAGACTAGAATGGCACTCAGTAGATCACATACCTCCACCAAGGCCCAACAGTCTCCTTTAATCTAAGCAAGTTGCACCAAACTTCACACACTCATGGATATCAGTGCCTGAATATGGCAGATTTTCTTTCATTTAGATCCATAGGTGAAACAAATTCCTGTATCTCCCCCAACTCATACAACATCCTCCCACCAAATTTAGTGGTAATATTTACTGTTATTTTTGTGTTATCCTGCTAAATGGAAAGACAATCAGACACTGATGAAACCATAACAACCTTCAGGAAGAAAGTGCAATATTTTATTTTTCCATCTTGTGGTTCCCAGTCATTTTAAAAACTCATTTTTTTTAATGTCCTGAAAAGTAACCCTTTTGGACAAGATTTCCACTTCAATCAATCAATTTTATAGCCCATATTCACAAATGACAATTTTGTCTCATAGCGGTTAACAAGGTGCAACATCCTCTGTCCTTAACCCCCAAAAAGAGTAAGGAAAAATTACCAAAAATAAAAAATAGATGTAGAAACCTCAGAGAGAGTGATCCCTCTCTCAGGATTCACAGAAGTGTAATAGATGCCACAAGTAGCTGAACACATCGACACAATTACAATATTTACAACATTGATTAGCATTGGCAGCGACAATCCATCCGTTGTAGAAGCAGGGTTACTGAGCCAACACACCTGA